TTCCCTAATCTTCCAACAGCACTTGCACTTAGACTTATATACCACTTCACAGGGTTTTACAGCCCTCACTAAGCAGTTTGCAGACTCAGCATATTTCCCCCAACAATCTGGATCTTCATTTTACCCACTTCAGAAGGATGGAAAGCTGAGCTAACCATGAGCCTGATTCAATCTGCCAAACTGATGGCAGCCAGTGATCAGCAGAAGTAGCCTGCAGTATACTCTAACCACTGCGCCACTAGTTCTTGCTCAGTTTTGGGATGAGGAAACATAAAGCTAGGTATGGGAATTATTTACTTCCATAAGCCCCCCTAGTCTTACTATCAGTCTTATATTTGTATTTTACTTGAGTATTGTGCAGCTGGATTTTGCACATATTAGTCCATTTCACAAGATATCAAGGATGGGAATTAAAGACCTCCTTAATGCTCTCTTTCCATATCAGTCATATTTCTGAAATTAAAGCCCAAATATTTGCATTGATGAAATTTGTTATTTTGCACTCTCACGGTGTTTGCAAATGGAGTGCTAGGCCACTACTCATTCCTGCATGATATGCTTGGAAATAAATTTGAATTGTGAATGATGATATTATTGGTGATGTTAGTTAGTTGGATAATGAAATGTCTACAAGCACACAAGCAAATTCAGGGAACACCAAGACTTCACAGTTTAACCCTGAGCTACTTTTTGTCATTTCGAAAACAGTAACCTGAAGATCTAATCTTCATAAGAAACATGAATGTGGCAGTCAAAGATTGTTAATTATGATATCTCTCTACTATCCTTGATTTCTTACAGATCTTGGACTTTTTATGTTTAGAAATATAAAGCTCAACTCAAAATGCATCTCCTCTCACAATCATCCTTCTCAAACACATGTGATATAAACTAGATTGAAGCTAGTTTATATCAGCAGACAAAAGAAAATGTAATAATATTTTCTCCAAGAAGTTACTTATATAAGGAACTCCTAAATAATGAGAATAGAATATGCAAAGAGAATTTATCACATTTGCATCAAAGCTAGATAGTACTCTTTGATTTTATTTTGTTCATTTAATGGGAATCCTAAGTTGTTTTTGTTCTCAGAAAGTTTGAGATGATCAGTATCCTCATAATGAGTATGTATCAATCCTAGCAAGGGACATGATTTCATAGCAGGCATGCATGTAAAACTTAGCTGAAAAATCTCAAAATTCTTTTATTATTTAAATTATAGTACTGAGGCAAATGTATTCTTATAAATCTAACATTTGTTCTTGTAGCTCCTTAAACAATATTTTAATGGATTCTGGTGAAGTAGGCTGTGGTTGATTAAAGTGCATGTAATTATAAATATGTTAATTTTTGCCACATGTTGGTTTGTTGCTTTTACTCCAAATACAGATACCAACTGTGGAACCTGATATATTAGAACTGATTTTAATTTAGGGAGGCAGGGGCTATTTGATACCAATCACTACAAATTGATCTAGGACTCCAATCACTTCCTGGATCTGCATCACTGACCTTCTCTTTTCTAAGAGTCCCAAGGTCATCTTCAAAAGCTTGCTTTTGATGTTTCATAGACAGCTGACACTCTTCTTCTGTTTGAGTCAACTGGTGCTTCAACATCTGTATCTCTTTTCTTAGGGTACTCTCTTGAAGCTCAAGTTCTTGTCGAACCTTTCCTAATTCCGCTGTGAATGAAAACAAACTCTATGTAGAAGAGATTCTTAGGTATTCTCCAATACACACAGTATTGAAAAATATTTAAATAATATCAGGCTTCACCATTGTCTTTTAATTCACTGATATTATTCCTCCAAAAGATAATAATCCAATCCTCTAATTATTCTTTATTAATATCGTTTTAAAACATTGTTCCCTCTGATGTGTTTTGTGTATCTACTTTTCAATTTGGTTGTAGCCACTAATAACCAACGTGCTAAAACTGTCAGAAAGCCAGAATAAAATAAAGAAAACTACAAATAAGCTCAGTTTTTCTAGATCAGGCCGATGGTCAATCCAATTCAGCATTATGTGTCATAGAGTGGACTACCAAATGCATTCAGGAGTCCCAGAAACCTGCATGTAAGGGTCAAAGCCATTTTCTGCTTTCCAGAAGTTGATATTTCAAAAGAAGTGTAATTTAGAAGGCAGCAAAAAGCTCTCTATGGGATTAAAATATGCCCCATAGATTTTTTTATTTAAATGTTAATTTCAATAAACATTGAAAATAAAAACCAATAAAAGAACAAGAGTAACAGATACAAAGCACAAAAGAAAAGAAGACTATCTACTTCCCCATTTTTATATATATATATATATATATATATATATATATATATA